CATTATCAAGACTGTTTTGAGGTCCAGGAAGAAAAAGTGTTTATTTTCTGCTACCAATATGTCGTCTCTATCGCACACATAATACCCTAAACTCCGTATAGACACAACTAAATTGTTCACGAACAAACCGTTTAAAATAACTTCCTTGAGCTTCCGGCATCTTTGAAGCAAAAATACAAAGGAGCGCTCGATTTTGAAGTTGTTTGTCGAGTGAAAATAATTAACACATATCACTTGTAAGTCAATGCAATTTCTTGCAAGTGAAAGTATAATGTTCTCTGTCCCTAAGAGTTCGTTACCTGCAAAGCTTAACAGTTGAAGCCGGGGCATACGGGGTAAAAAGGTCTCAAAATAAACAAACGCCAATGGAATAGATGAAATATCCAAGCACGTGACACTCGGACAGTGAAAGAGCAAATCACTGACGCTTTGAACGGTAACTGGATAGCGTCGATGAAGAAAGAAAACCTCTAACAACGGAAAGCCGTCCACTATGAGACAGAGAATTTCATCGGTCAGCGCGCACTTCAAGTAGCGCAGGTGCCTTAGTTTTGGTAATACCGCTGAAAGGCCGGAAAATGACAGTCGATAACAGCTTAGCATGTTTAACTCGATGATGTTGGTGTTTTCCCAGTCGGCTGTTCCTAAGAATTCGTCTTTTATCTGGGTACCTTCTAATATGAGCGTCTTTAGCTTTAGGCAATTACTCAATAGACTTGGTAATGATTTCCCTTGGATGTTGCGACACTTTGCGAGCGTTAAAGATTCCATAAAGGGGCAGTTTTTAGCAACAATGTGGATACTATCATCAGTGACCCAGTCACATTGTGTACAGTCTAAGAAACGGAGCTGGTGTTTTCTGCTGAATATGCTTCTAAACAGTCGAGGACTGATACAACAGTGAAGACCTGCAGAACAAAAATAAAAAGAAGATGGAGCGATTTTCAGTTCGAGCAATAAACCTGTTTTTGAATTACTCAACTTCATTTTATTTTTCGAAATGACTCTGAAATTCCTTAAATTTCGAAATAAACTGGAAAAAGCAAAGTGCATAATTTAAAATATCCTTTTAACACTAGAAAAAGCAAAACACCTATTTAAAAATTAACCTTTAAGAGTTAAAACGTTGTCAGAATCGAAGATACAAAAAGGAACTGAAAAAAACTAAAACCAGATGTTTTTACTTATCGATACATTGGTTGTTACATTAACATTGTTATTTTCATTTTTCTCAGTGAATTTTCGACACCGGGTATTAAATTTCGCAAGGATTTAAATTCGGGTGTCTTTAATTTCGCAGTTTCTTAACAAGCGAGAAAAACGCGAAATGAAAGACCAGCGACATCAAGTACCAATAAAGTGCATAAGTTCTTGCGCGCCTTTTCCTTTTCTGTATACTTTTTTGTTAGTTCATTAACGACACAGCAGTTCAATAAGTAGACAACAGATCAATAACCACACCAGTGGTTCAATGACTACACATCAGTTCATTGAGCGTAAACTACATGCAGCTGCGGGAAGAATAGCCACAAATACGTTAGTTATTTTTTAATAAGAATGCATAGCATTAAGTAAGTGGTAAATACTCATTTAGCTATGGTACGAGAACTAAATAGATAAATAGCTATGTTACACTGTTATTAAGTACTAGTGAGCTCACTAATATAGACGGGAACATAGACTGATGTTATCTAAAATTTTAGTCCCCTCAGAAGGTCTGTCATTCTCATCAGGGGCACAGTGAACAGACTTGGAAAGAGAGTCAGCGCCGAAAGGGTAAAGCCAAATCGGTCCGGAGAAAACTTCCACTAAATAACCTGACAACGCGCGCATTAATAAAGCAGAAAAAAATACAGTTAACCGTGGATGAAATCAATCTTGTTTTTTGACTCTCTTTCCGCACGTTTCAAACCGTGGTACCACAGCTGGCCCTACGTGCTTGAGTTGACTACCATCAATCTATGTTTAAAATAGTTATTTTTATCGTACAAGTCCTGAACTTTCAACTTTCTTGGTTGTTTCAAACTTGAAAGGCAGCTGCTCGCTTGCTGACCATATTTCAAAAATCTGGTTTCGATATGATAATGTCTGTGCAAATATGAGAGATCATAACAATTGCAGGCGATGCCTCACCAAGGTACCAACAATTTTCTTTCCTAAACGAATTAGAAATAAAGTTTCAAATGCGTCTAACTCACCGCAGCTTGAATAAAAACAACTGGTAGGATGACTGCACTTTGTTTTCTTCACTCGATGGCTTACGTCATTTCATATCACGCGCAATCTCTTCAAAAGTTAACCGGCAACCGCCGTGAACTTTCGCGCGCAACTTGGAGGAGTTACGTCACAGTAATCCTAGTGTCCAAGTGAGGCCTTTTTCTCACTAGTTCGGTTTTCTTATTCCAAAGAAGATATAGAATTAAATTACATAAAGTTTATGTCTGTAAAAAATGTACAGCATTTTTTTAGTTAACCATTTCCATTATGGGCTAAGCCAAAAAATACATAAATAAATAAATGTGATGAAGGTGACATACAAACACACAAACAATTATTTAAATAACAATAATAATGAGTTATGACGGGGTTTTACAACCATGATACCCCGCCCATAAACATCCCTATCTGATTTTACAAGCAACCAAAAGGATGCCTGTCGCACGAGTGCAATGACCCTCTACAGCCGTGAACAAGCTGACAGATCTGGCGCACAGCGGGCAGTTTAAGGGAAAGACATGGTTGCCATATACCAGAATAGCCCAGTATATGGATTCAATAGCTCAGTTTTCTTTTTTGTTAGTTCATTAACGACACAGCAGTTCAATAAGTACACAACAGATCAATAACCACACCAGTGGTTCAATGACTACACATCAGTTCATTGAGCGTAAACTACATGCAGCTGCGGGAAGAATAGCCACAAATACGTTAGTTATTTTTTAATAAGAATGCATAGCATTAAGTAAGTGGTAAATACTCATTTAGCTATGGTACGAGAACTAAATAGATAAATAGCTATGTTACACTGTTATTAAGTACTAGTGAGCTCACTAATATAGACGGGAACATAGACTGATGTTATTTAAAATTTTAGTCCCCTCAGAAGGTCAGTCATTCTCATCAGGGGCACAGTGAACAGACTTGGAAAGAGAGTCAGCGCCGAAAGGGTAAAGCCAAATCGGTCCGGAGAAAACTTCAACTAAATAACCCGACAACGCGCGCGTTAATAAAGCAGAAAAAAATACAGTTAACCGTGGATGAAATCAATCTTGTTTTTTGACTCTCTTTCCGCACGTTTCAAACCGTGGTACCACAGCTGGCCCTACGTGCTTGAGTTGACTACCATCAATCTATGTTTAAAATAGTTATTTTTACCGTACAAGTCCTGAACTTTCAACTTTCTTGGTTGTTTCAAACTTGAAAGGCAGCTGCTCGCTTGCTGACCATATTTCAAAAATCTGGTTTCGATATGATAATGTCTGTGCAAATATGAGAGATCATAACAATTGCAGGCGATGCCTCACCAAGGTACCAACAATTTTCTTTCCTAAACGAATTAGAAATAAAGTTTCAAATGCGTCTAACTCACCGCAGCTTGAATAAAAACAACTGGTAGGATGACTGCACTTTGTTTTCTTCACTCGATGGCTTACGTCATTTCATATCACGCGCAATCTCTTCAAAAGTTAACCGGCAACCGCCGTGAACTTTCGCGCGCAACTTGGAGGAGTTACGTCACAGTAATCCTAGTGTCCAAGTGAGGCCTTTTTCTCACTAGTTCGGTTTTCTTATTCCAAAGAAGATATAGAATTAAATTACATAAAGTTTATGTCTGTAAAAAATGTACAGCATTTTTTTAGTTAACCATTTCCATTATGGGCTAAGCCAAAAAATACATAAATAAATAAATGTGATGAAGGTGACATACAAACACACAAACAATTATTTAAATAACAATAATAATGAGTTATGACGGGGTTTTACAACCATGATACCCCGCCCATAAACATCCCTATCTGATTTTACAAGCAACCAAAAGGATGCCTGTCGCACGAGTGCAATGACCCTCTACAGCCGTGAACAAGCTGACAGATCTGGCGCACAGCGGGCAGTTTAAGGGAAAGACATGGTTGCCATATACCAGAATAGTTTTCTTTTTTGTTAGTTCATTAACGACACAGCAGTTCAATAAGTACACAACAGATCAATAACCACACCAGTGGTTCAATGACTACACATCAGTTCATTGAGCGTAAACCACACGCAGCTGCGGGAAGAATAGCCACAAATACGTTAGTTATTTTTTAATAAGAATGCATAGCATTAAGTAAGTGGTAAATACTCATTTAGCTATGGTACGAGAACTAAATAGATAAATAGCTATGTTACACTGTTATTAAGTACTAGTGAGCTCACTAATATAGACGGGAACATAGACTGATGTTATTTAAAATTTTAGTCCCCTCAGAAGGTCTGTCATTCTCATCAGGGGCACAGTGAACAGACCTGGAAAGAGAGTCAGCACCGAAAGGGTAAAGTTTGGTTTGTTTTTATAGTTCAATAAAGACAATATAGTTCAGTAAGGACAACTCAGTTCATAAAATACACTTAAGTACACCAACGACTGCACGAGTTCAGAAAATGTCACAACTATAAATATATCTTTATTTGTGTCGCAGATGCATAAAGGCAGGAGAAGGGGATTTTAATGGATATGCGCTTACTAATGATAATGATAATATTTAACTTAAATTATTTATTAATTTTTATTATTATTGTTAATTTTTTTTTTTTTTTTTTTGAGGGGGTCTCTCAGGAGCTCATGTGTAAACTTATAACATTAATAATAACAAGAACAACAGCTAAGCGACAAAGTACAGTTCAGTTCAGTTCACCATGTTGCGAGGGGCTTGTGTATAACACTCCAACATCCTGCTTTTGTGATTTTAATGTACAGTTCAGTGCATCATTTTACGGGGGGCTTGTTTACAGTGCTCCGTCATCCTGCTTGTGTAGTTTTGTGGTATCTGTCCAGTAGGCACGAGGTAGCCAATAACAGGTGCAGCTTAGCAAAAACCTCTGTTGCCGCAAGACTGTACGGTGGTTCATTGCAGTATACATTACGCACCCTTGTTATTGTTTATGCATGAATAGAAACCAATTTTAGATTGCTTACACGGCTTGGTTTGGTTTTTTGGGGCGTTTATTATATTTTCTGATCTTAGACTGCTCGGTTACAAGGAGTTTATTTTCTGGGGGGTGGTGGACAGGGTGGCAATATTTGTTAACTTTTAAATTAAGGGGATTTAAGGGAACTGGGTAATAAGAACTTTTAATAACATTTTTTGATTTTAATTCTAATTCAGTTGCCTCAGCAAAAAGGACGGAATTAGAGGGATGCATTATTTGTTAACTTGTAACTTACGAGAATAGGGGGAATAATTTATGTATTATGGACCTGTAATGACATTATTTACTGATTTTAATTAGGTTGCCTGTGCAAAAAAAAAGGGGGCAAGAGGGATGTCGAGGAAAACCAATGCTTCAAGATATAGGATTGCTGTTATAGGAAAGGGGATTTTTCGACCAAGATTCGAGTGATAGATAAAGAGAGGAGCGATTGATTAAAGACAGGGGTAACAGAGGAAGTGGAGCACGACAGCGATGGGGCACATACCTTGCAATAAGAGGATAACTTTTCCTTCACAAGAGATCACACGGATTTCTTATTTACTACAGCAAAAAATATACAGCACTTGGGCTTTGTATTTTTTTGAAAAATATATGTTGGTCTTACAAGATGTGCAAAATTTCTCTTAGACATAAAATATATGAATCATTACACAGAAAAAAATTTTTGTTTTTTATGGTTGTAGTGAAATAAAGACAAATAATTATGCAATAAA